GTACAGAATAGGGAAGTGTCTGTATTCGTTGTCCACTCTCACAAGGGTCTTGGAGTGACTGTGAGCCATGATCTTGAGACCACGACTCACTGAACTGAGGTCTCAGCTAAGGAGATTAGAACTCTGTGGTGACCTACTTTTATTAACATAACGCGACTGGTGTAATGGAAGTAATTACTATTATAACCAATCGTACCAAGGATTGTTTTACTGTACTTTCTTGTCTTATAGCGACTCACGTGCAATTGAGTTTAGTTCAGTCAAGGCCTTTTGTTGACCTATTTAATGGACAAAGTCATCCATGCTATAACAACTTGTTGTACTGTTATTATTTTTGTGCTTGTATAAAATACATATGCTTGAACATTGTTTAGCGCCTACGCATGTATTCATTCTGCTAGCTTTACTTTTAACTGCATAATCTATTCGCTGACTCATCCATTTTCCTATATATATATATATATATATATATATATATACATTTGCACCCATTCACTACTACTACTGCTACTGCTACAATCGTAGTTCACTTGCTCATTCATTTTGCCTCTCTGCTGTCTGGTCTGAGTTATCTACTAAATAAACTGTAGTAGCTGCTTCTTTTTGCCTTCTGATCTCAAACACCGTTGAAGATAATATGATAACGGTTCGGGGGTGATTAGTTATCGAAGCACAGCCACTACAGTCTAAATGTACTAAGAATAAACATTCTTCCGTTTCCTGTGACCTTGCACGAATTCGGTTACGCTCAGTAACCACACTTGGATTCTCTTGGCACGATCTCGATATTCTTTCGATACCACGAGATCGCCAACAAATACATCTCGACTACAGTCATCAACTGCCTTCTGACATTTGGCCTAGGGGGAATCTTATCGGTTAACTAGCAAGTAGTCTTCCTGTAGTGGTGATCATAGTCAATCGCCACACTACAACCCTATGGGCTTTAAGACGGACATTCACGATGTCAGATACTAATATATTCACCACAGTATACACAAGCTAAGTGAGATCTAAACTTGTAAGTTTTGCTTAGGCCACGAGCCTTTGTTTACAAGGTGGCTCGGATATCCCGGAAAAAACACAGAGTGCACCTACCAATGAAATTCAACAACACCAGGGTTTACTATACGAAGAGGGGCCTGAAAAGCTACATCTCTTTACTCAGTCCTAGAACAGATTAAGAGGTGATCTGATTTTTATGCATAGACCACTAACACAGATGACCTGAGTTGAATGATTGAGGGCCTACTGGAGATGGATGAGGATGGTGTGACGAACCAGCTAACTTTGAAGTCACACCTCGCAGTCAGTATCTAACTTGGATTACCCTTTCGTCGTACCAAGGTACTATGGCTGCTCTGAAAACCGTATTGCGCTGTAGCGGTAAACAATTCCCCAAAATAAATAGCTCTGTAAGTTTTCGACATTGGATGCTGGCCACATTAGTTTTATTAGACTCACTTAGCTGAAGGTGCTCGGTCATGCATCCGCACCAGATTACGAGTGTGAACTCCGTACTCAACAACCCCTGCAATCGCTAGCTAGATTAGATCAGACAGTCCTCGATATATTGATAGCCTATCAAATATATCTTCGAACCTCTTCGCTTCTGACTTTGATTTCACTTGGTGGGTGCGATTCGTATTAGAAGGTGTTACTTTTAAAGCGTTGTCAAACTCCGAGTACCTGTGGCATCTTCAACACTAAGGACGTTATTGTAGAAATATATTAGTAAAAGTGGGTACAACTAAGAGATTGCTATGAAAACCGCATGAGCCAGTCAATAGAGTGCGTTGGTTGTCCTTGAACTTGATTAGGATTCGTGAATTTTTCGATATTGAGTGACCTAACTGTCGAATGATTTGGCTAGGGTCCAGTGGCATTTCATTGGCTCTACAGATGTATGGTATGATAAGAAATGATTTTGGACCAAATATATCTTCTCTTTTTCTTCCTACAAGACTGGAACAACTCAGAGGACATAGTAGTAGAGTGGAAAAGCCAAGAGCGAACAAAACACCCTTGGCATACAGGTCCTCACTCAGAGTCAGCAATTCTTGGAACCTGTTGCTGGAAGCAGTGGCGGCCCCACCTGTAGTTGCATTTTTAAAGCGAAGACTGGACACTCACATAAGCTTACTAGGAAACGATTTACATAGGGTGTAGACCTTCTGTCCTTATACACGAATCTGAAAGTCTGAAGGTCAATCGTGCAAATGACCTACAGTCGGCTTGCGGTACTGCTTTGAGCTGGGTGGGTGAAGATGCCGAAATAATGTATTGCATAGGTATTTTCACGTTCGCCTACTGTATGACCGGTTGTACTGAGTCGAAGCAGCAAAATTTGGAGCGTGAATAGGATGTTTTTGAAGTTGTGGGAAAGCTTGCCCATAAAGTGCCTAAAGCTTCTTGTAGTTTTCTTAAAATGTCCGTAAAGTTCAACTACATCGACTAAGAGTTATTTTTTCCAGCTTTAATATTGCACTGTGCGAAGTTGTTTCTCGAGATGTTGACGGAGACTAAAAGTCAGTATGTCCCAAATATCTTGCCATAGTATATCCTTTTAATCTCCGTTAATTTATTTCCTGTCAATCCAAGATCTTAAATAATTAATTCTGGATAATCGTCCTGGGGTTTCACTTATTTCTGCTGTTTTCTGTACTATAGGTTAATCATTTGACCACATGTTCAACTGCTGATCAAATTCATAAATACAATATAAATTGGGATTTATTTAGTATATAATTGTCTTTTGGCTTGCAAACAGGTCAGTTTAACTGATCGATGTAGTGCAACTGACCGGAAATCCAAATTCAATACAAAACCGTTGGGAACGTAGTGAAACAGTGCAAAATTGTTCTGAAATTAAATAGCTTCATACCTGTGGTTTACACAATTTTCCCGTAGTTTTTGTAATATTCCAATCTAATTTCGGAGACCCATAATGCTATTTACACATTACCGAAACTTAACACAACAAACACATGACTTTCAGTCGATCTTCATCAGCCGAAAACCTAGCAAGGATGAGCATCCAAGTCCTCACACCTCGTAGTAAAGGAGGGGGTAGGATATCAATATCAAAAACAAAAGAAGTTAGTTTCAGCTTTCATGGAAATCTAGGGCTAGGAACTACGGTTCAGAACGAACAAGCAAGACTGAAGGATGAGAAGTTAGGAATGGTATTGAATTTTAAAGCTGGCGGGAAGCAAGGGATTGACGCAACTAGATCACTGTAACTGATTCCGAGCAATTCTACTTAGCTTCTCTTACCAAGCAAAAATTATAGAAAGTCGACTGACCTATACTATACTTTTGAATTGGCGTGGAAACAAATGTTTAGACAGAACGTTAACAGTGGGGATTGGTTCGTTGAAAATTCCGTTAGAGGACTATGTCGTTGTGGTAAACAAACCTTGTACCTTCAAGCATTTGATCTCGGTATATGAGCTCCATCAGGCGGATACTTCCAAGCAAAAAATATAGCCACATAATAGCGGAGTAGCCGTACTGTTTCCAAAGCACAAACATAGTCATGTCACTGTAAAATAGTGACCGAAACTTACAGGGTTTTCTACAGAAAAGGTATGAGTTGAATATGATCACTCTAGTTACCATACTGCAAGGTGGTTATAGGATATTTGGAAATGAACTAATTTCTGGGGTCCCGTCTCTTGGATGTGAAACTAAATAACATGTTAATGTCGCTAGTAGTCTTCGAAACACAGTAAGACTTGAATCACTTGGGAAAAAATGATGTGATTAACTGTGGTCTTTAATTCATGATCAGTGTGTTTCACTACTCCCTCAAAGACTAAAAGTCGGGTCACTCAACCAAAGGAGAATCGGATCATGATAAAGCTTGACCAAGAGGTTGCACCATTTCACTTTACATTGAGTAACAACGCGGATGGCCTGTACTAACTCAAAAGTTGCACTGTTATAACTCACAGGATCAATATTCATCATATATTTACACCCAGTATCGTAGACTAAAGGGTGATTGTATCCTTCCACTCTCAAATGTTTGGATCAGTTCACTGGCACATAAAATAATATCCCCAACAACCAAATGAATATGTCTGATAGTCTTGATATTATTCGTGAATGAAGAGCATCTAGGTCTTCCATGTTTACGGTTTTGAAACTATCGTTCGTTCAGTTTCTGTGGACAGGACATTATCTAAATTTGACGTGATCGCAAATATATCTTTTAAGGGTACTAACTGGAAATCGGGATTAACAAGGTTCATGAAGTCTTTTTCTGTGTATCTCTATTAAGAAATGTTTCCCAGTTCACGGTTGAGATCCTAAATAGGAAATATTTCAACTGAAATCGTTTTGCTTTCCTGTTAACAAAGGCAGCCCACTGTTTGACTTCATAAATTACTCTTTCGTTCTATATCTTTTGTTTTCATTATTTACGAACTCATTCAGTTTACTAACGTCTACAAATGATCTAGTGGGACAATCAAGTTAAAGGTTAAGATAAAACATCGACATTGTTTCAACCATTAGGAATAGAATCAGAAGTTTTAAAATTAATGTGTACGTTTTGGAGTTTGTTGCTCCCAAAGTAAATTTAAAGGTACTTCAATAGTCCTCATTGGGTTGGTCGGTATTGTGGGAAAGGATCGTAGTATCTCTAGATTTGAAATGACGTCTTAGCCATTATCGATGTGTCATGATAACCGCTTAACAAAATTTGTACTCTATGGACCTGAAATGTTTATTGAATCACGTTTTTTTACCTTTACGGATAGGTAATTATTTATGAAACAATTTGAGCGATATGTACTTTGAGTAAAATCTTTGCGGTTCACAGTGATCGTAATCATTGTGGATAAAATTTTTAAAAGAACTTTCTATTCTTCACATATGTTCAGAACATTAAGCTTTATTGGAAAAAATTGTACTGGAAGGATTGTATCACGAAACGAGAATAATATTGACTTGATTTTATCACAGCTGACTATAAACATCTCATCATTAGGTTCAAGTACTCAACCAGGATTAGAATTTATAGAAGCAAAATTCTATTGATGAACATCGTTTGCAGAATGTGCTCAAAACTCTTCAACATCATAGATTTGTTAGACAGTCAGTCAGTCTAAAAATAGCTATCCCGATCAATAATATTTCATTTTTATGTATCATTATTTGTAGTGACTTAACAATGTGCATGTATACAATGATTTAATTGTATCATCAATAAAAAGATGTCATTGATTACAAATACAATTGACCTTGGACAGTGATTTCTTTATATCCATACATATTCGTGCAAAACATGATTTGTTTATTGATCCGTATATATGTATATGATAAACATAATTAAATAAATCATTTTTTGATTGATGCACACACTTTGGCGATATACGCTAAATTAATTAAACTAGCGATTATTAGTAGTTAATCAGTTTTCAGAATAGTTTGACCATTCATTCATCCACATGATGTTGCTTAATTGTTGTATTGTTAAAAAATCTAATCTCTTCAAAAATATTATTCATACTAAACGTTATGGCAAGTCTTACATGTTAATCGTCCTTTTGTATATTGGAAGAACTTTTAAAAGTATATATGTCGACATATTATGCTCTGTATTTTCGATTATCTTTTAAATATTTAAAGTTTTTTTCATATTTCGTTTTTGGGGTAATCATAAAGCAATGTCTGCTGATATAAAAACTGTTCTGGCTTCCAAACATTACGGTTTTATGGGGTCTGGTAATATGTCTCAAGCATTGGTCAAAGGTTTTCTAGCCTCAAGTACGTTTTTTTATTTACTTTTATTATGTTTTTTTTACATATCAATAATTTAACGTAGTTCTGTAAGCTCTGTATTTTCTTTTTTGTTCGGTTATTTGATATAGTTTATTTTGCTTTCATACGAGGATAAGATTACTAACATGCGATTTTTAGATAAAATTAACCTTTAGACTAATTGCCGAGTCTGTTCCGAAACCATCTGTTTTCTTGACTGTGAACTGTTAGTTTGTTCCCAGTAGTTATAAATGCTCTATTTCATATTGTCTGGTTATTTTCTTGCATTTTATGTATTTTGTTCTTGATCGAAGATCAAAGTGTGTATGTTTAGAAAATATTTACTTTGGATGTCCTGACTGTCAAAATAATCAGGCCATATAAAGTGGTTTAGTTTGGTGAAGACGGTGACTAAATGCAGAGTTTTATGATCACCTTAAGCAACAATGGAAGCGTGTTTGGGATGCGGTTCTCTCCCTCCAAATGTAAAATGTAACTTCAGGATTGGGTCGCATCATCGGATGAGCTGTTGATAAGAAATGAAGTGGTTGGATGCATCGATTTCTCCACTTATCCTGGGAGTCTCGTCAGTGCTGATGGTCTGGTGTTTGACGAAATCTCGACGTAGATCCAGAAGGCTCGACTGGCTTTTGCTGAGTCGAGTCACTTGTGGTGTAGGCAACATATCCGTCTGCCAACCAATAGATGAGTTTGCTGTGCAGCAGTTCTCTCCGTTCTACCTTATGGGTGTGGAACATGGCCATTCAGAAGAGAATATTCATAGGTCACTGGTATCCAGTCATAGGTGTCTTTGAAACATCGTTCGTGTACTTTGAGAACACAGAGTAAGCAGTGCCTGGGCTAGGAATAAAGTCTAAGTTAAGGATGGCAAGTCGATTGAAGAGGTAGCAAATCTTCATCAACTGAGGTGTTTGGGACATGTCTTACGTATTTCCAACCACCGCCTAACTTGACTGGTGACTTTTTGTGGCGTAGGAGTTGGTTGAAAGGAAGCTAGGGGTGGCCAAACCAAAATATGTCATCAATCCATGACGTCAATGACAATTGGACTTAGCCGTGCTAATAGATGTAGACTATCTGATTGGGATCGGCGTGATTGTCGTAACCATTGGTCATATACTTTGAATGACATGACTCAAAATCGTTTGTAATGGAGCAGGTGAATTCGTTCTTTGTCTTTTTCCAAACTCTTAGATTCTAAATTCCTCATAACCTTTATTTATTTTCATTTCACTAATTCATGTTTTCTCGAGTCATATCTTCGATGCCTCTACTATTCTGAGATTTGATCTGACAATTTCATTTCTCTGTGCTAATGGGGTATGACAACTTGAACTGATGTACGTACGTACCAGGATCTACGTTGTGATGATTGTTCACAAATGGGAGATATCTTCCTTGTTTTCTCACTTAGCCCTCGGCATTCCAGCAAGAGAAGTTATATGTTGAGTAGAATTATTTATTAGATTGACCGAAGAATATTGATCAGATGTATAGTTATTTTTGTACAATGAAATTTACAGTATTTTTAGAAATAAGGTGGCAAAATGGTATACTAAAACAAACGAAAAAGCTGAATACTACCAACAAACCTTAAACTTGAACCCCATCAACTGCTTGTGAGTATAACCGTTTTATGACTTAAAGTAGATTGGTGGTTTGACTGTAAAATCAATTGGCTATCAACTACTAAGTTATGGGTTTAGACCCTACCCCACCCTCATTTAGGTAATTAGATAGAATCACTAGCTCTCACACAGAATATGATCGAACACTGAGCACACGAACTTAGTTGCTAAGTTACTTTAATTAATTGTGATTAAAAATGTTTTCTCATGAAAAATTAACAGTACACAGAAAAGACGAATAAAAGGTTATTTCATCAATTCAGAAATAATATTCCTCAGTAAATTTGTACGAAGTGCCCATTTCTTCAGATATTTGTATTCAGTTACACTGATCACATAATTTACAAGAGGAATATAAAACATCCTATTAAATAATGTAATGGCTGATACGTTGGATTAAGAGGGTTTTTCTATTTGTGTTTTGTAAAGTGATTCTATTACTAGTCATCGTCAGATTTTTTAATAACAAGCTTGTTACATTTTCGAGTCCTTGTACTCTGTTATAAGTTTTGTGTATAATAATTTTTCGTAATGTTCTTTTTTCTGAAATTACAGATGTAATCACTGGTTCGCAAGTTACAATGACTGATCGGTATGGTTTATCATTTCCAGATGCAGAGGTATACTTTGTGTACAATATCATTCTTGTATATTTTGAAGATAACACTTTGTTAGATTAATTTATCCTTAAAGTGTAGATAACTTGTGTTTTTGATGTAGACCAATTTATTTTGTAGCTTATTTCTACTGATAAAATTGTTTTAATTCAACAAAACAAACTATTAAACTTATTATTTATGTGGTTTAATAGTATGCTTTGTTTTAATTTGTGTTATTTTTCGCGAGACTAACTAATAGTGGATTTCAGATAGTTATTTTACATCCCTTTCTGATACTTGTTAACTAAATGTGTACATATTTAATGTTTTATTCAAGAACTATTTACAGTGAAGATACTTACAAACATTAATTCTATTTTTAATACCTTTGGTTAATAGGTTGAATTGTAACAATGAACGCCTTCAGGTAGTAATAGATTGTCAAATCTGGTAAGATCCGGAACAAGCGATTTCCAGCTTAGTTTCCCAGTGACCATTTTCTGTACCAACTAAAATGAGAAATGCTGTTTGTTCTGTTCACACAATAGTTAAGTACAACACTTAGTTATATGTAGGGTAGTGGTTAGAGGTAGTCGAGAGCGAACCCTGGACCTAGGTTTCGTGCTATTCGGCACTTGTTAGCAGGGTGTACCTGTAATCTTGAGGGGTTTGATGCTCCCTGGCGGACTCAACCCCAATGCCTACATAGCAACCTGGTCAGTAGAATTCGATTTGCACTAAGAAGGACTTGACACACATGACTCTGGTCACTATCCAGTGATCAATCAATTGCAAATACTTAATGATATGACTTCATGAAGTAGAAAATCAGCGATGATTTTGGCGAGACTATAATTTATGGAAGAACCAATCAGATTTAGAATAACAAGTCTTGAATTTTGGCGCGAAGTTCATCCACCCATTTGTCTAAATAGCATTTTATCATTTTAGCTAATGTGAGTTCGTGATGAAAAATCATAAATCTAATTCCTAACTATCAACTGTGAATCATAATCCTTATTCTTTAAACTAATTTACAACCCTCATTTACCCTTAGTAAGTAGGTAGACATTCTCAAGGTCACTTTGGCGTCACTCAAATGTTGTCTATACGTTATAGTCTCATCGAAATTTTCTGTCAATACAGCTATAGGGAATCTATTAAGGGAAACCTAAAAGTATCGAAAACGTGATAGACGCAACAATGTACAACATAAATTCTCAAAACAATAATCGTTTGAATCCTCAATATTTTGATAAAACAGTCAATGAGGTCTTTTTCTAGCATTTATTTGCTTCTTGAGTTTTGGTTTCATTACTCAAGAGAACACAGGATTCTTCTTGCTATTTCTCCTCAGCTTGATCTGTCCATCTTACCGTGAATAACTCTTCATTTTTATGCTCATTCGCATAAAGATAAATGTGTTAAGCACAGACTCATTAGTCAGAACACTCGACTTTCCATCACTAAATAACAAGTTGTAATCTGTTTTTACCTAGTTTAGTTCAAGCAACCAGCTCGAAACGTTAATGCTCAGCCATAAAGTGTGGACCGAAAACGAGTAGGTAAACCTATACTTGTTTACTAGATTTTATCGATTGGTTATTGGTAATGTTCATTACCTTCTTAATAAATGCTGAAAATGTCAGTCAAAAAGTAAGAATCACTGCAAATCCTCTTTAATTAATTACTGTGACAACTGGGAATTCAGCTGAGATGTTGAAATACATTAGTAACTATTAGAAAGATCTTTGTCTACTTAAAACTGTAAAAGAATCAATCCTATAGAAAAAGCAAAACAATTGCCAGTTTTTTCCTTATAAAATGTAGGTAACGAGCAAACACAATTTGAAGTTATTTACCATATAACATTTGAGGGCTTACAGTTACTAAAACTCATCTGTTACCTGTTCACAGAGTTATAGTGTGAATTAGTATGAGTATATTGTACGTTGGTCTTCATCATTTCACTTTGTTATTAATTGTTTTACAGGTATTTTGTTAACAATATTTAAAAAATGTATTTATTGATTAGATCCAAAATATGGTATAATATTGGTTTATGTTCTATGATCTACAAGAATTCATTATATCTTTAGTTCACTGTTTAATTGTTGTCATAAATGACGAGAAAAGAATGCAAATGGTTCACATTGCTTAATTCTTCAATTGATATATTTCTGGTGCAATATATCTACCACAGTTCTCTATGCTTTATACTGCATTGTCTGAACAAATCTTGATAGAGTTGACTGGGAAATATCCTACTTCCTACGAATCGATCCTGTTGATATCAAACTTTAATCTAAGTATTATGTAAGGCGTAAATTGAAAAAAAGTTAAAGGGATTTTCCCACTGTATTCTCTGACTACGCTACAAATCGATTAAATAATGGTTTTTATTCTGTTTAGTGAAATAGGTTGACTTATAGAAATCAAGCACATGATAATCCCTTCCGAAAATGGTAAATGGTTGTGTACTGTTGTTAAAGTAAGTAGAAATACTAACCGTATTAATTAATGGTTCTGTGTTCAGTCGAAGCGATCTGTTTTTGTTTTTGAGTTTTATTTAGACCTAACTATTAACATTGTTACTTTCTTTGCAAAGCAAGCATTAATTACCGATGAACGGATGTAAAGACATCTCTTTGGAGATGGTCGGCTTTACATCAATATTTCTAATACTTTTTATATATTGCCATGCGTAGTTAACCTTGATTGCTCATGACAACAGCTTAATATTTGAGTTCAATACTGTCTTAGTTTGTTTTGATTCCCTATATTTGTTTTCTACGCACATTTGTTTAGTTTCTGATACCGCTGAAAGCTCTATGTTCTGTAAGTTAGAAATGGCGTGGTGTGATTATATACCAGTATTTTTACTAAAAATTTGCAAACTACTGATTTCATTTTAGTAGAATAATGTAATTGTTTGCTATTTTACCAATAATTAAGCTTTTATGTGCTTACGCTAAAATTCACATTGTTTTAAGGATCTAACTACTGGTTTTTAAGGTGGTCGATTGTCCTTGACATGGAACTCAGCGCTTAAACCTTTTACTCCCGAAAATATTGTTACTTTATCGAAATAGTTGTAAATGGTATTGGTAATTGGTGTTGAAATGTGAGTTGTATCGTAAACATCTATATCTAACACCACCATACTCCTTTTACTCGTATCATGTGTCAGATATATGTTTCATGGTTTGAAATAACTGTCAAGACTTTGAGCTAATTTACTTCGTTCTTAGGTTGTTATTTATCGCTTATAGAATGATGGCTGGCTTCCACTAATATGTGGTGTTGCCAAGTTGTGTAATTTGAAATAATTGAATCGTTATTCACATTCAGGCACATTGTCAGAAGAAAAATTAATTTGATTGCACTAAAAGTTTTTAAATAGTATTTAGTAAAACGATTATCAAGAATTAGAGAGTTAAAGATTTTACGACTAACGTTAGCTGTTTTCGTCCAAAGGCAATCTAATCTGTGACTCAAATTGTTTAGTTCAAGTGTTAAAGTTGTCATAACATTTACAATTGATCATCTACCATTACGACTGGGTGGTTACCCCTTAAGGATAAACGTCCTTCCCTCTCATGCTTACCAAGCAACATTATGGTCACCGTTTTCATAGGTAGAATCAGACATATCTGTCTCTTCCTTGTTGTCATGATGCTAAAATTAAAAAGGAGGGAATATTTTATGTCATAACTTGAAACGCCGGTTGGTATTACGTGTTTAATTCACCAATCAGAATTTTAATTGAGTATTTCCTATTTCACGTCTACCATTCCGTTCATAAGCTGACCCCTTAGACGACTAATTATATGTCCTAACCTGCATAGTTAACCTTAAAACCCATCCGAACTAAGCTTTTATTGGTGGCTATCTGCAAGCTTTTCCATATCGTTTATCTTGAGTTTGAAGAGTGTTCAGCAGCCAGCTTCTACTAAATAATATTTCCAAGCACACGTAGGTTTATATGCAAATATACTGGACCACATCACACCATAAATTGAAAAATCATAATGAATCATCAATAAGCCAGAAGTCGCTTTGAATATGTTAAGCTGTAAATAATTCATTGGCAATAAATTAGGACTAAGAAGTAGTATAGTTAATGGGTTAAACAAGAGCTTATGACAAACTGAATATATAAACATTGTAATTCAGTCGTTTAGTGATTATACAATAAAAATGTAAATAATAGTAATCCATAAAATAGTTCCGGGAGTGATCATTTCTTCAATCTTCGTTCTGATGCATTTTATTACCAAATAGAATTGTATGTTCAGTTTATACTGTTTATTATCTTCAAGGTTTATTTGCATGATTTTCGATAAGAAACTGTAACATCTATAGCTAATCCAATCAGAACTGAAATGATTACGCTCGACAATAATTACACTATCACGAAATCATTTTTCCCTATCAGAGTTGTTTTTCGCATTCTATCAAACAATTGATTTCTGGTGATTTTGTTGTTTCTTTTCTAATCTGATATTTTAAAAAAGCATAAATAACTTATCGTATTGATCAAATTAAACAAAGTTTTCTGCCTTCGTTTTTCAATTATACAAGTAAATTGAATCTCAGTTCTTTGTTTATTGCTGTATTACCAAATATATGAATGAACAAATCTTTGATTATTAATCTTTAATTAGCATGTGGTTATTGTTTTATTTTTATGGGGGATTCGATCATCAGCTTTTTAGTAGCTTTGCTTTCATTTGTTTTTCCTTATAGAAAAACCATTATTATAATGTTTTTGTTGCATTTAAAAAATGGTGTGTATGTAAATTTTTGAACGTATAATGATCGTTAATCCTTGTTTTGGTAGATTGACGTATTTTCAGAATGAGCTAAATTACATAATACCTTGTTGCACAGTGTATTACGTTAATTCTTGCGAAAACGCAAGTGAAGGTTCTTGCACTTTTTTGTAAAAAAAATATCAACGTTGCGAGAGAAATTAGTCTTCATCGAGGTCGAAACCTTTGTCTTCTAAGGGTGTATTGTGTTCAGCTTATGAATATGTTGGTGAACATTTTTGATTACAGGTGAAATCAATCATGGTGTAGGTATTGTTGAGGTTGTACACTGTTATCTTTGTCAAAGGTTACAGTACGCGTTAAGATATTTTTAAGTATCGGCTATAAACAACTCACAAATGACTGAATGCTTATCTTTATTAAAGTACACTGGGGATATCTGACTGTTGGAAAACTTACTTTTCAGAACAATACAGAATATATAGTTGGATTTTATAGTTACATGATCATTGTATATAAAAGTTATATCTATTTACAAAACGTGTATATTTATTACGTAAATGTTTGAGGACTGGATTTTATTTATTTGAACACATAAATATTGGTACAAGAGAGCGCCAATATATATGCGCCACACAAAACAATGAGAATTCGAAGAGAAAGAAAAAAAGGTAAGAAGCGTGAAAAAAAGAACAATAACGAAGAGGTTGGTGTAAGGTAGTGTATTAATAATAGTAGTAATAATGAGGGAACGGAAAGGTACAATCAGAAGAAATCTTTCAGGTAAGGAAGACACAACCACTTTTTATGACGAAAGTAAAAGAAGGTTACAGCAGGATCGCCACTGACTTATATTCTAAACCATATCTGATAACGTCTCTAGCCACTGTGCCGCACCATCTCTAGGACCCCAGCCAGGAAGTCATGAAGGACCGACACAAGCCAGTCCTTTGCAGCTTTCTTTCATACCACGACACCATGTCATACACTGACCGACTCTCCACTTTTTCCAACCAGTCCCAGCGTTAGCAAATAATGCACGATGTGGAACTCTATAGGCATATGTTCTTAGTACCTATCCAAGCCACCGAAGTCAGTATTCCAAGATAGTGACACTAATTGAATTGTCGTCTCTGCGCCCGAACACACGATGCCAAACCTCTGCATTACTGATATGGTGTTGCCACTGGATGTCGGCAGTCCTTCGGAACCAACGATGATCAAACACAGAGAGTCGTCTAACATCCTCAACTCAGAGAGGCCAGGTTTCACAAGTATAGAGCAAAATTGCTCTCACCGACGCGTTGTAGATCCGACCTTTTTCAGCCGAACTAATATCACGAAGGCGCCAAAGATGGCCCAGATTGGCATAAGCCGCTCTGGCTTTCACCATACGTGAATTGATTTCATCACCCACGCTACCACCAGTACTTACGCAATTACCCAGATACACGAACTCCTCACTACCCGAGGTGAGTGCAGGATCAGGTCCTGCCAGTCTTGTAGAAGTACTTTGCACTTCGAAGGTGCAAAGCACATACCATACCTACGGACACTGATTGCCAACTGATTAAGTGCGGATTGCATGCCTTGGGCATTATCGCACAGTAAGACAATATCGTCCGCATACTCAAGGTCGAGAAGTCTTTCTCCAGGCAACAGATCCACACCACCATTACTTACATTCATCAGAGCTGTTTCCAGAATGTCATCGATGGCAAAGTTGAAGAGGAATGGTGAGATTGGACAACCCTGTCTAACCTTACTACTCGAATGGAACAATGGAGAGAGGTGGTTGTATGCCCTCACTCTGCCTGAGGTGTTTGTATATAGGGCTTTTAGGATGTTAGTAAACGTTTCAGACACACCCTTCTTCAATAGGCAATCCCAGAGAACAGTCCTATCCAACGAATCGAAGGCAGCCCTGATGTCAAGAAACACTACGATTGTTGGCCTTTGATAAGTATGGCGGTGTTCTAACATTTGGCGGAGGGTGAAGATATGATCAATGCATCCTCGACCAGAACGAATACCAGCCTGCTCCTCGCGAGTCAATCTTTCTCGAGTTTTGAAGAACCTACGAAGTATGACGGAAGCCAATAGCTTGGACGCAATCGGAAGTAGACTTATCCCCCGATAGTTGTTACGGGAACGACGTGAAGCCTTTTTAAAGATAGGGACAACTATCGACTCATTCCATGACGTCGGTACACTCTCTAGTTCCCAAACCTTTGTAAACAACGTCAATTCCTTAGTCAGAAAGTCACCACCATCTTTAAAAAGAGCCGGAGGTAAGTCATCTGAGCCAGGTGGTTTGTAGAGCTTCAAGAGTTGCAGTTCCTTGCGGACTTCCGCCTCATTTGGTGGATCAGTCGTCACCGGCCATGGAGGGCAAGACAGTCTGACCGATGCTGCCAGAGCAGCTGCCCATCGTCCAAGACGTCGATGGATGTTAGTGATTGGCATCCCATCATCCTCACAGATTGTTTCGCTCACACCAGACTTCTTGCTGCCAGTGGCTTGGATGAGTTGGAAGAGCTTCCGGTAATTACCAGATGCAGCTGCTGCTTCCAACTCATTAGCACGCTTCGACCACCAGGCTTCTCGGTCCTTACGCAAGCTTTGGCCAATTTCCTTCCGTAACATCCTTTGTTTGTGGTCAAACTCACGGTTACCCAGAGTAAACCGACGGGCTTCAATGAGTTGTGAGGAACCTGAAGAAACCCAGTGCTTAAAAGCGGGACGTTTCGCGAACCGACAACTGACTGTACCCGCCATTTTCATGGCGTCATGCAATTGCAACCAATGCTCATCTATACTTTTCGGTGGAATGGTAGCTAACCTAGAAACTAGCTCGGTTCGATACTTACTTGCAACAGAAGTTGCAACCAACTTGCTGACATCAATCCTTTGGTGGTGGTCACTTCGTTGGCCACTGTAAAGTAAGGTAAGATTAGCACAGACCAGAGCATGATCAGAGTCCAGATAGGTACTCCAAAAGGAGCGGCAGTCTTGTACACAACCACGCCAGCGGTAGCTGATCGCGATGTGATCAATCTGAGTCCAGGCTTGAGATGCAGAGGGAGGACGCCAGGTGGCACATCGGCGATGATTGTGCCGAGAGTTAGTGCTAGCCAGAAACAGGTTGTGGTCTGTGCACAGTTGCAGTAGACGGTCCCCGTTATCTGACCTGCGACCAACGAGTCCCCATCGGCCACCTAAACGACTCTCTTCTGTGCCTAGACGCCCGACCTGAGCATTCAAGTCTCCGGCTAGTACTACAATATCTGTCGAACGCACTTTGTGGAGAACAGATAACTGGTGGTAAAACTAATCGTTGATTGCATCCGGGCTGCAATCTGTCGGAGCATAGGCGGAGATGACGAAAAGACATCGTTTCTCACGTCGATTTCTTCTCACTTTGATGGAACTTTCCAATCTCACAGCGCATAAACGACTGTTAATGGGGATCCAATCGACTAGTGCTGCCTCAGCTCTTGCGCTTAGTGCGATACCAACGCCAGCAAGACCAGACGAAGATGCCACAGGGTCCCCGGATAAGCGCACGTAAAACAAGCTTTTTGAATCGACAGATGTAGAGCGAATTCGCAGTACTTCACCAGAGTCTTGAATACGGGTCTCGGATAGACAGCAGACATCGATATTAAGACTTTCCAAAGACATAGCCAGCCCTATCTGTTGTCCAACCTGCATAAGTGTGCGAACGTTGAAGGCAGCCAGTTCGAATGGTGCACGTGGTTTCAGAAAAACTGCTTCAGTACTCATATTCGGTGGTAACACAATTTTCAACCGGATAGTGACTCGAGAACGTTTAGATACAGTCGAATTTCCACCAAAGACGAGCCGCTGTATAAGTATAAAAGAGGGTGAATAATGTGGTAAATAATAATAATAATCATTTGAATCATTTGATTGTTATTCGAAGCGAGGGAAGTAGTTTCCATAGATATAAAGAGTTCATCATTTGCGTGTGGGCTGCGATACTGCCCGGGTGCCATCATTTGATGTTATTTGAGGGAAGCTTTTGATTCATGAATGGTTCACTACACAATGCTTGTATGGACATAGATCGTAAACTATAAGTCAGTAAATACGTTATTCAAAATAACGTACTAGGTAGATTTCAGTTCTACAAAAAGTTAAGCAGTACGATATATTCCATTTCAGTCTCTCTGTTAGTTGCTTTTTTAATAAATATGAAAAAGAAACAATGTAACGGTATTTCGAGGTTAAGTTGTTTATATAGAAAATGAACAGCTGACTTTTTAAAAATTAGTTTATTTTGTGATGTATGATTTATTTTCCATTCATCCGTTAGTGACATTCCTGACTGTTGACTAATCCAACTAGACAAAGGAAAAAAACAAGACTGTAGGAAACCGTGTTATCAAAGGTTGATATCTAAGTACATATAAATCGTCACTATTTGTAGGTAATCAGCGTGACCGGAACAGGGAAATGTGGTTGATGACTTTGGTCATATGAATAATTCACTGATCGTAACTTACCCACACTTGCATTTGATTTACTAAGCTACCTGGAGACATCATTTAATTCTTCTGGATTTTCTGGATATATCGCTCTTCAGTCTTAGAACGTATGTCCCGCTTTTCATTCAAATGAACTGTTTGATGTGGACAACTTTTGTTTAACTTATCCTAGCTATTGCCTGTTGCATTTCGGACTGATTTTTGCCAGCCTAATGTATTTAGTAGACAGTTGATAACTTTCGTCATGATGGCGAAACTAATCTTAATAGATAACAGTTTACTTATGCTATTAATTGTTTCATCTTTTTCGAGTAGAAATATGGAGTAGAATATATACAAACAAATGAACCAATGGTTGAAAAAAGTGATGTCGTGTTCGCCTGTGTTAAACCACACATATTACTACCAGCTCTAAAAAGTCTATCCGATCGTTTAAATGATAAACTTTTGGTTTCTATTGCTGCAGGGATTACACTAGACCAAATACAACAGGTAAGATTTCGAAAAATTCCAGTCTATATAATTTGTAGTTGTCATACTTTACATATTACATTCCTTGTATGATAATTAATAATGTGGCTCATCTTTTGAGTATAGATTTATGTGGTGAACATATGGTGCTATGGTTAGTGACACCTAGAACAGAAATCAAACTATTGGTTGAAAGCTAAGTCCTTAACTTGCTAAGCCATTACTCTACCTTTGTGCACTTTTAATACATTGTTACATAGATAAACAGATAGATAGGACACCGTGAAACCTTATATAAAGGTACACTGGTTTACATTTTCAAAATTTGCAACCATAAGAATAAAGGAGAAACCGATAGAGTGAGAGCAAACATGCGTAGAGTTAGTAATGTATTTAAAATTCAATGGAAATGCATCTGCGCCAACAAGATCTGAATAACTCATTCACTTGGCCAATATATATCCAGTATTCTGTAGATTTTGATCTTTAAGTAATTGTTTGGTTTATTCATCTCATTAAGTCATGCTAATCTCAATAATCCTAACACCAAAAAAGATCGATTACATTAGGATAGAAAAAGCTGTCAGATCACCGATTTCTACAAGTTATCGTTCTGCAGTTGATAAATAATCAATTAACCAAAGTTTAGACTTGGTATGTAGTTTGAAGTAACAGGGGTTACTCAGCGATCAATTTATTTTCATTGACTTTTAGTCAGAAACATTTTGTATACCTTGTCATTATTTACATCAACATGCCTTGCTAGCTGAAGTAGAGTTGGAATAAGGAAAGTCTTAGCATCATCAGATTAGATTATCTCATCAATCGAAAACGCTTCTAACAATTAGTGTTAATCCCGTAAAAGAACTACCTGATCAGAAAACAATAAAGGTTAATGCACTTAGTATTGCTTGCTTGAATATTCCCATTGATGTTTAGGACTGCAATTGATCAGTCTCTTATAGCATATGTGCCTACTGTATGTATTGCCTCGATTTTGCCTTAAGTCATTAGCATTATAAGCAAAGATTGTTGGTGGCTATCAGTGGGATTCAAGACTTTGCGAGGCAGCTGACGAGTCCCAAATAGGACGAAACGCGCGTCCTGGATTCTACTGCTAGCCACAATCCATCTTTGCTTATAATACTGTTTAATGTTATGTTTTTTAATTAAATCGTCTAATCATTAAACTTTCATTATCTCTCTAAATAATATTCTCATCATAGATTTTTAAAAGTAACCATGCACTAAAGGTATAAATAAATGTGAACTTGGCCACTACTCAGTGGTCAATCAATTGTATCTCAATCCCACGGAAGATCAGCCACAGTCCGAATAACTTAGTCATAACGTCTCAGACTATGTATCTGTGTAATATGGGATCGAATCGACCAGGAAGCATTGGTTCCCTACAACTTATCGGCCCTTGCTTTCTGACCAGTACCGAATAGCACGAATTATAAGTTCAAGTTTTCCTGTTGATTATTTCCAAGTATCTGATATCACTAACAGCAATTATTATACTGATAAAAAATGAAGTATTGTATTTAGTTGAATGATTTATAGAGAACATTAGTTCAATTACATATTGTTTTGTTGAAAATATAGATCATCAATTGATCTCGTTATCTGTAAAACTGTACTTTGAATTATGTCTACTAACTGCCCGATCACAAGATCACGAGTTTGATTATTTCTCAGTGACACTGACATTTTGCTTCCGTAATCATCAATTGGAGTTAAATTAAAACTAGGTTAGCTTTTTAATGTGATATCAATTACATATCTGAACATTAAAACTGGTTACATAAATGCATACATACATATATTCCCATCATAATGATATATATTAGGGGAATAAATTGGGATTGTTTTTTTATCCATTAACTTTATTTACTAAAACAAGCTTCATTTGCTTTTCCACCATATGTTCTATAATATCATGTATATAACTCCTCCTGGAGTCCCTCCGGGGGCTACTGCCGGTCCCAAGCCCGGACATATATATATATATATATATATATATATATATATATATAATGTTCAGAATACTATGGAAAAATCACTCGATCAAATAGTTTTCTTATAAATGTGTCTAGCTATGAAAAAGGTACCCATTAATTAGATTTAGTTCGCATTCATCTTTAACATGTAATTAATAAAATGATAGTAATAATTATTTTTTCTAAAAAAAATAAAAAAATATTATTACATAATAAATGTACCTTAATGATGTGTTATAATAATGATAGTATTAACCAAAAAATTTTTTTCCGATATTTAGTTGTATTAATGAACAATTTCCATGTGATTATTGTTTATGACATACATTGTATGTTATTCATAATGCATCATTTACATCATATTAGAAAACTATTGATTTTTTGAATAAAGTATATGAAAGTCAAAACAATAAATGAATTAATATAATTTCTAACATATAAATTTGTATAGTTGTTATGGACGAGAATATAGTTGATGGGGGGGGGGAACGACCAACTATATTCTAATATAAAATTACAGAATGTTTTGGTAAAATATGAAAACCACACATTAAACAGTTCATTGACAAATTTCCATTATTTGTCTTTCATATTCTGTACGATTCTTCTGATTCATAATTCTTTTTTATTCCGTTCCTGTTCTCTTCAAGTCACGCCTTATGCCGCCAGGTTTTCCACTTTCGATTGTTGTTACATACTGCTTATGTCGGTCGACATAAGTAGCATACACTACATAATCATTAAGGTTCTTTGTTAGATATTTTAAAGTGCATAGCATGGGATTATATTATTATCTACTATCTGATGATTATCACAGTTTACACTATTCTTTTTCAACTTAACAGATACATTCGTCATGTTGGGAAGGTAATCAATAAAATTTCACCGTAAAATAGGAAAAACTAAATCATATTCACCAACATTCAATCGGTATTATGTTCATTAGATCAGCCAGGAATCACATTTGAAATTTCCTTAAGAATAGTAAGACTCAATAATTACCATCGCTAAATCTTACATATGTTGAGGACATATTGTTATCAACTCAGTTTTAAAAAACCGTACCTGGCACAAACTTAGATCTTTTGAAGAAACCCTTGGCTTACAGCTGTCTACCTTTTTTAGTTATTCATGGAGAAGGGAGATTGTCTAATAATATTCGGAATGGCTATGTGGTTATAAATCTTTCACTTACTTTAGCTCTTTTATTATTTTTACTTCAGAACTACCCATATCCTTACGTGTCGAAAACAAGTAATGGCTAGGTATCCTTTGTCGTAATATCTCAACTAATACTTGTTCAAATTTTCATCAGATTGTTGAATGTTAAGACCGTTACATGTCTTTTATTTCAGAAAAGTCTTAAAATATCGTCTTGCCTGTAGTGCATCATACTTACATCGAAAGTTCTTGGTCTTTATCTTTGCATATATATATATATATATACCTATCTCGAGGTAACATAATTTCTGAATAATTATTCAGGCCTGTCAAAAGATATCATTAAAGATACCAAATGCGTCAGCATAAAACTGAAAAATTTGCAATGATGCTGCCGTCAAAAACTGTAATTCCCTTCTTCAACTTGATTTTATACTGGTGAATCTGATAAACTTATTTGTCGTATTTATGATGGTACAATCGATTTAATAAAACCATTGCAAGCGCGTGTTTCTAACTAGTCATTTATAAACTCAATCAACCCCGAAATTCAAAATGAGTGGATTTAAAAAAAAAAAACAGAACCATTAGTCAACTGACTAAACAAATTACAGAATTAAAGTATTTATTCATATCTCGAATAATCAATTAAAATAGTGTGAATCAGTTACTCGTCAGATCACAAATAATTGATGAAGGGTAGAAATAAATGTTATAAAATTATCAGTACAATAGTAATCTTGCTTATCCATATTTATCGGATACTTACTGCTGACAACTACACTGTCCTAGCATCCCCTCTTCTAATTTAAAGCTGTATTGTTTCTTGTTAGTTAATTATTTTTTAACATAGCTCTTAACAGCCAATTTTATTTAACCCAGTTTTTTCTTATCGTGAAATCTAACGAAAAAAGAATTTTTCCTCTTTTACTTCTCTAAAAATAGTTTGAAAGATGTACTTGTTTTTCTTATTACGTTTTGTCATTTATTTCTATTTCATTTTTTTTCGTTTTGTTTTACACTTATAAACGGTGTTTATTACCAACTTTAATATCTGTGTTTAGTAGTTATGTAAGAGTGGTTGAATGAAAGATTTAATTATCTGGAATTCTAAATTGTTTTGTACAGTAAAACATTAATTCAAGTAACATTTATCATGATTGTTCTAAATATTAGTTAGTGACAAAGTTATATATATTTTTAAATAAATGATTTCAACTCCTAAAATACCTTTTCATCATATTACATCTTATGAATTTGGTTATATTGATATACTTTATAGGCTGTGCCGAAATCTACTCGAATTATCCGTATTATGCCTAATACACCGTGTCTGGTTGGTGTTGGTACTGCAGTGTATGCACATACATCTTCTGTTACTGAAGAAGATATTAATTTGATTTCTGCCTTATGTTCATCAATCTTTCCTGTATTTGAAGCTATCCCGGAATCTTTATTTAATGCAGCTGTTGGAGTATCAGGATCATCTCCTGCTTATGTAAGTTTATTCACATAAATGATTTATCTATTCTTTTGAAATACAAAAAAGTATATTAATCACTCAGCAATTAGATTGTTATTTTCACCTACTCCAATAATACTTTCCACTAATTATAAGATATTGTATATGCCGGCGATCGATCGCTCACTCAAAATTTATCCAATCAAAATACTAGGAAATTCAGCCCGGATACCTTGCATACTTAGTATTAGTCCGTATCATCAGATTACATGCATAAAGTGCAAGATAACAGCTCTCCATATAGAATAAATTTCTATAAGTACAGAAATCGATTTATAGCAAAGTAACTGTACATAAGAACTTTCGTCTAAATTTGGACGAATAGTTTCAGAATATTTGGGCGCCGAGTTAATGTGAGACATTAAAGAGGAAGAATGTATTTGTAAAATCTCAGCGGAAGAATTTGAAGTAAATCCAACGTTTCGCCTGGCAATCTGGTCCAAGCTTTTTCAAGGAAAATATAATCAAACAAAAAAATTCTCGGATAACTGTACGTTAAAAACGTTAAAATATTTTGTAATAGTTAATCAGCCAAAAGTGATCTTACAATTGCGATGATATAAAATAACTTGAATTAGCTGTTTAGTAATAGAAAATTTGCAAACTAGTTTCACCCCGTTCAATAGTTGTCTGATTTCCACAATTTTTTAAACTTCTTCCTAACAGATTTAAGTCGATCACGTCAATTGTGTTATGAAATTACTGTAAATGGTCTAACTATGCGATAGCAAGTTTCTAAATAATGTTTGACTGTAGTAGTATAAGGGGTAGTTTTCATCAAGAACTAGGATCATCTGGTGAAGTATATAAAATTATAGGGGACCAAATATACGTTTGATCTTAGTCTGAGACTTTTTAATGGTATACACTCACGGACCCGATATGAAGTTTAATCCACGACTAGTTAGCTTTCATAGTAAACATGATATTTTTCAGCCATTGAGTTGAAATTCGGTAGCCGAGATTCCCCAACTTTAGTCGGTTCGATATATAAATTGACCATTATTCAATCATTGTTAATAAAAGTTATATTTGAAAAAAATAATCGTTCTTTCCAACTTATAGTGGCTGAGTTTTAACACTTCCTGTTAAAAACTAACATATATTTGTGTACCTCCCTAACATATACCAACACTTAATCACCCTCCGTAATAGCTAACACTATTTGTTTACCTTGAGTTATTTTCGAAGAACTTGGGATTTTGTTTTAATACTGATTTACACATTAGACAGAAGATCCCATATTCATCACATATTCGTAACACGATTTTCATTTGTTTTATTCTGTATCATTTACAAATAGTTATGAATGATGTCATTGTTAAAAGCCAAAATCTTGTGCTCTTATATGCTTCATTGACTTTTGTAGGTGATATATGTTTACAGTAATAGTAAAATTAAATGCTCAGAATAAGTTACTATATACCATATAACAAAGTAGCAAACTAGAAGTGAAAGTAACCGATCACATAGTAGGAATAGGAATAGGAATTGCAGAGAAGCCACAGAGGAATTGTTTTATTCGTTAGAACTATGGTTTAGTAGAAAGAAAAAAACTAGATAATTCGACACCATCCTAGCATTATAGTACAACTGAATAATTCGATACAGATAAAGACCAACAATATAGTTTTATAGAATTTCTTATTCTTTACTAACTCAAAGTACCCAATCATAAAGAAACTTAAACAATAAATTATGTATGGTCTTGTGAATCGATCATTAAGAAAGGGAGTTTTTTTCTAGCGTGAAATAATTTTGAATTCTTACTTGAAGTTTAAATATTCCTTGTATTTAACTAATATTCTGTTGGAATTCTTTCAGAATAAAAATGGTTATAAATGATATTTCTCATGATTCTTGTGAGGAAAGAAAAAATATACCATATTATATGTTAGTCTCAAATAAATCTTAACAATCACGAGTGTGTTATGATGTATAATCAAAGATGGTTGTAAATTCTGACCACATAACAACTGTCAAGTATCAATACAAAATTTCAATTTTTGTTTTGCTATCTATCATCTATCTGTAAGGCAACAACAACATGTGAATTCAATTAGTAAAACAACGTTTTGCACAAATGTGACGAAAAATTTACTACATTTTTAAACATTTTCATCCATTTAAACTTTTATTGTTGTATGTTTTAAAGTGAGACTAAGGGTTTATAATATGATACAGTCTTGTGTGCCTAATAGTCATTGTTCTTGTAAAGTGTAATAAAGTTGAATATTTCCGTTCTAGTCATTTCATATTTAAATGTTACAGGTTTTATATTTTATGTTTTCTACTTTATATACTTAATTTTTATTGTCTGAATATTTCAATCTTGTTTCCACTTAACACATTATGCTGTCAGTAAACGGTTGTAAAAACTGTTGAGTTTCCACATGAATTAATTGATGTTAGACCACCATTGAAAAACTGGAAGCATTGGTGACTAGCTTCGAGAGGTAATTCTCGGAGGCCATAACCATTGGAGCTCATCTGTGTCGGGTAGAGACAGGTATCTACCTCAGTACAGTAGAAGATGGTAGCTGCGAGGCCACCAAGCCCCCACATGCCCTGGTACGGTCGAGAGTGGGGAGACTCCACTCTTTCTCTCTCGAAATGCTCTCACATGGCCAAGCGTATACAATCACTACCTTCTCGCGGCATTACTGTTGTTTACGAAATTGAGAGGACGAAAAGCGAATACCCGGCGCTTTAACCGGGTTCGTGGACACGGAGAGTCTACCTAGCGGAGTTGAAAGCACCTGATTCCAAACCAGTGGTCCATATGGGCTCCAGTATCCTGAAGGAACAAATGGCGTATGAACTTGTCGTCACCAGCTACCATGGGACTGCGTATCCTGACGTTGCTCCACTGCCTTGTGGATCAGATCTTTAGGTCGAAGGCTCCGGGTGTAGTCCCTTAAGAAAACCACCTGCTTCAGTTCGGGCACCCGAGCAAGATTCTAGCCGTCACATAAATCGAATGATTTATGTGGTGCATATGTATTTGGTGCCTCTTTTTACCAGTTTTTATGTGTTTAAATAAATAAATAAAGATGGTCGCGCAATGTTATGGATCGATTGAAGTTAAACGTCAACACCGTTGGATGCCGGTTCAGTGGTCTACAGGGTAATCGTTGGTTTGGGAGACCGAAGTTCCTGGGATCAAATCCCGCGTGCGAGATCGTGGGTGTGCACTGTTGAGTAGTCCCATACTATGACGAAACGACCGTTCAATGTTTCTAGACTTTCAATGATGGTCTGGCATTGATCGGTTTATGATATCAATATTATACTGTCGTTTTGTTTGAAACATTAAGACATGTATGTTTTTTTTCTATATGCGACGATTGTGATACACTAATTTTAACTCTATTTATTATTTCTGAGTTATTTTTACCTTTTTTGAATCGAAAACATTGACATCACTGGAAACCAGAGTGAACTGAACGATCATTGGTAATAAGTATGACTACCTAGTGACTAATTTAATGAAAATTTAATAGTCATATGCTGATTAGTGTTTAGCTTAAAAATAGATTGCTCAAAGTTTATATTGGAATCTATAATGTATGAAGTAAATAATATCTAGTGGTTATCATAGTGCTTCAGCTATGATTTTGAATTAGGTTTACAGTTGTATAATGAACTTACGCTGTGGAATAATTCCTAACCAGCCAATGAATTCTGATTGTTTCTTCAAATGATGTATTGATTTACAGTAAAAAAGTGCAAATGGTAATAAGTATTAAGTTGAATACGGGAATTTGTGGAGATCGTAGTATTTTCAGAGTAGAATTCACGAATCGATCTAAGCTAGACCATCATTGAAAAGGTTGAAGCCGTTTCGTCCTAGCACGGGACTCATCAGCTATTCAATTTAAACAATATAAAAAACAACAATAATAATAACTAATTTGAAGAATTTCATAGTTTATTCATTTATATAAATTGAACTAACTATATTCATTTCACCATCGAATATACTTCCTGATCAGTCGTTAAACAATTTAATTCATCTTTCGGTCAGTGATTTATGAAATTTATCATCTGAATTTTCACCAATACCGTACTATAGTTTATACAGTTTTTTTTCCAAGAGTTTCATTGTAGTTTTATTTATTTCAAATTGAATATATTAAAGTATTTAATTTGTTCTAATCAAATGTAGTTTGTTATTTCAACCAGTTCAGTAGCGTATTGTTCATTAATGTAAATTCTAGTAGTGAATGACATAATTAAGTGTATCATCTCTACCTCTACGATTCAGAATTTTTCAAATTCACCACCATCTATTAATGTTTCTAACCATTTTATTATTTTAAAACTAACGACAGATTCAATGTTACGTCTTTCTTTCTTTCTATCGATTGATCCAACTGTTTATCTATTCATCAAGGCAACTATAGTTTGTCAATAATTTATTGCGTTGTAAAAGAATAAATATGAACATAAATAAATAAGTTGCACTTCTATGTTCTTAACACTGAATAATTTATTATTATTATTCAATGCAAAACTGTCTATTGATGCAAAAGCGACAATCATTATCGTTGTCTGGATCCGAATTTTGTTTCTTAAAAAAAACACAATATCACCGTCTCGAACCTATGGACAAAGTAATAAAAGTAGTACCAGTAGTATGATATATATATGTTTATATATATTCAGTCTATTCTAATAATCCATTCTTTGTACCTACTAATATCCTTACTATTTTCTACTTATAAAATTCAATATTTTGGTTTTGTCAAACATATGTTTATTGTGAGACAAACGGCATTTTACGGAATTGAATACTTCCTGTGAGATTCAAAAGGAGACGGTTATTAACCTTATCTTGCCTTGGTCGACATGTACCTCGTATTAGTTATGTGTATATGTGTGCATCATGTGAAAAGTTTACAAACCTATCTGTTTCATGATTGAATTATTGTAGTGTTAATTTCTGATTTGTATTATTTCTCCCTGTACTGTTG